GTAACTATTTTTTGTTCTTATAGTATAAATGTGGCATGGGACACTGATGGGCCTCAAAAGTTCAATGGTGAGAGGTTCCCAAGCAGTCAGACCCCCTGAATCAGTGGCAGATAGTACAAACTCCTGAGGTGAATATTGAAAATCAATATTGAGTGGATAGCCAGACATGGTTTGAAGAGATGCATTAAACTGAAGCCAGCTTTCTGGCCCTGAGGGAGAGCCATCGACTGGGTTTATTCGAAGGGTCAACTGAGTTGTGTTGCCATCTTCCTGATCATAAAATGTGTCAGCGGGTACTGAAAAATCGAACTTGCATCCAATGGTTGCTGTTATCAATTTAATGGAGTTAACAACTTCAGGGGAAGTATTTGTTTGACCTACAAAGGATGAAGAAATGGAGACGGAAAGTTATAAGAAACAAACAGCTGGCTCACAGAAAACAATAATAAAGAAACCTTTACACCTTTGGCAACTAACCAGTTTTTCATAGATTTTTATCTGGGTTAAGTATGTTCTGCCCCTTCTCCATTGCATCCCCTGCTCCTTCCTTTCTCGATCACCACAAATTACTCTTTCTTCTGTAATAGGTAACTTCTACCACAAGCAAAATATGCTGGAGGAGATATATTGCATCTATGCTGAAGATACCCTTCATTCACTTCTCTCTTACCTGCTTCATTAGGAAACTATAGCATTGCACTTGTGTTTCTATAATAATCATAACTATTACCTTCTCCTTAACTGGGAGAATCACTTAATCTTACATAGCAAGGTATGATTCAACTTTAAATACTCTTTAGATAAAGATTGGCTCACATTGTTGCCTTGTCTACCCTGCAGGGTTTTTGTGCAAGAAGCCTTTTGTGGAAGAGTTCTTGTGCAAAAGTGCATCCAGACCTCAAAGCGATGTGCTTTTGCACAAGAGAATGTCCCCACTGCATGGACATGCTTGTGTAAGAAAGCTCTGATGGCCATTCGCAGAATGGCCATCAGAGCACCTGTGCTTTTTCCCGTGCTTTTTCCCATAGGGGTTTCTTGTGCAAAAACCCTTCCGAAGCGTCCACACTTGCCTTCTTGAGCAAGAGCTGTAGCGCAAAAAGGAATTATTCCTCTGAGGAGAGGAATAGCTCTACCGGCAAAACCCCTCTGTTCTGTCGATTTTTCTTGTGCAAAAATGCACTTGAAGTGTGGACGCTCTGCCGGTTTTTGCACAAAAACAACACTCATAGCCTGTGAGTGTTTCAGAAAGTGATATTGCTTTAATGAGAGTCAGAGAGCCTTCATTTTGCTTTAGTTTGGGTATTCTGGGACAGACGTACCCAATCTTAACCCCAGATTGAGCTACTTTTCTGAGTCTCCTCTAATTGCTTCTTATTGGTTTCAAGTTTGTTTTTTTGTCTACATCTTTGAGTTTTTTATGCTAGTGTCAGTAGTTCTTTAGACCATTTAAATTGGAAGAAAGCTATTTCATATTTTAATCTGCATTAGATTGGGTGGCTATACATGCTTTTAAAATGACTGTATAACTACCACCTTGCAGGGCCATTTGAGTTCTACTTCTTGGATATTGTAGTGGAAATGCAGAAGACGATTGTGATATCGAGGCAATTAGGTGGTGTACAACAATCGTTACTTTTATACCTGCATCTCCCTTCAGGCTTGGATGCTCTACGAAGCCTTTATGCTGTTTCCTTCTCACTATTTTCTTCGTCTTAAGGAGTTAACTGCTTGCTTAAGCTGGTACAGCTTAGGAACGCACTGTTTACTTTTAACAGGCTCTACGACCCATTTCAAGGCTATCCACCTGGTCCAAGAAGAAGGGAATGTCTGGGAAGATCACATAGCTATCTATGTTGAATGTTTACTGCCTGCTAAAGCTAATTATTTGGCCTGGGAAAATAGTCGATGTATTAGCAATTTTGCCAGGTTCTCAAAACAATTGGTGTGAGTAATATAGATCCGATAGTATATAAGTGCCAAGGATATTCCTAACATTGGAACCTCGGCGTAGACCGAAGCTGCGGGAGGTGCTATGTACTGGCCACTGGGGTCTGTCCGCTGTCCTCCTTCAGGGGGTTCCCGAAAGCAGAAGGGACGTATGCATTGCATTGCATTTCGAGGTTTGCTTAGGCTTAATAAATATTGTACTTTTTTAGTAAGCATTGTATCCTATCCTAAGACTTTCTTAATAAGCATTGTACTTTACTCTGATATTAAGTGTTGTACTTTACCTTGATATTTGCTTAGTAAAATCTTTAAAACTTCACCCAATTTGTGTGCTTATTGCCTCCGAATCCTTCAAGGAAAGAACCATTGCCCCTTGGCAACACAGATATGTGTCCTTTTATTGTTCTTTTTTTTTGTCATTAGCATATGAACCACCAGTGACTGGCAGCTTTGACTAAGGAACTTCTCAAAGAAACCTGGGGCTACCTCACTTGACAGATGTTTTAACTTTAGTTTGTATTAACACCTGAAATTTTGTCAGTAGTGTACTTCAGCCAGTGTGTATGTATTGTATTTTTAAAACCACATCTATTATAAAATGTAGCTACACTTAGGGTGTAACATTTATATAGATAAATATAAAGAAATTTGTACGTTGGTGTACAATGCACATATAAACTGTTACTTTCTTCTAATCAGTATTGCTACCTGACTACTACAATAAAATGTGTTTTTGTACAAAAGGTTTCATAGGGTATTGCTGCAATATACTTTGCATTGTAACCTATAAAAGGGATCATTTCCAATATCAGGCCCCATTTCTGCAATTATTTTATTCCCATGGTTTCCAGTGCAATTTTGTTTGATCTTTAAGACTTTTGCCTCTATGATGCAACCAGTTTTGGCTGTTCTCACATGTTGCTGCTTAAGACAGACTTAATTTAAATGCACTTACGTGACTAGAGTATTGTATGCAGGTCAAAGCAATAGCTGTGGTGGGGTGTCTAGGGACATATTTTAGGTGGGATTCTTTTGATTTTGGCACTTTCATGCCTACGGTTAGGCATGAAAAAAATCAACGAGCTATGAGTAGAAAGGTCATGAGGTATTTCCATATGGTGCTGACGAACAGGAGAAGGGAAGAGGAGGTAGAAAGCAGTGTAGAGCTCCAGAGGGTCCTTTGTGCATTTAGATGGCCAGTTTTTGGCGGCAGCAACTGTGTCTCACTGTATGTATGGGACTGAGCACAAAGGAACCCTGATCTCCAAACTATAGTAAAACAAGTAAATAAGGGCGGCGGGACAAGATTTTGAATTGAAGCATGAAGAACTAGGAAGGAGCCTTCTAACTGAGTCCTGGAAAATCCAGGGAGACCGAGAGATCATAGAATCATAGAATACTAGGAATGGAAGGGACCTCGAGAGGTCATCGAGTCCAGTCCCCCGCCCTTATGGCAGGACCAAATAATGTCTAGATCACCTCTGATAGACATTTATATAACCTATTCTTAAATATCTCCAGAGATGGGGATTCCACAACCTCCCTGGGCAATTTATTCCAGTGTTTGACCACCCTGACAGTTAGGAACTTTTTTCTAATGTCCAACCTAAACCTCCCCTGCTGCAGTTTAAGCCCATTGCTTCTTGTTCTATCCTCAGAGGCCAAGATGAACAAGTTTTCTCCCTCCTCCTTATGACACCCTTTTAGATACCTGAAAACGGCTATCATGTCCCCCTTCAGTCTTCTCTTTTCTAAACTAAACAAACCCAGTTCTTTCAGCCTTCCTTCATAGGTCATGTTCTCTAGACCTTTAATCATTCTTGTTGCTCTTCTCTGGACCCTCTCCAATTTCTCCACATCTTTCTTGAAATGCGGTGCCCAGAACTGGACACAATACTCCAAGGCTGTGTCTACATTGGCGCGATCTTGCGCAAAAGCGGACGCTTTTATGCAAAAACATTCTGCCTGTTTACACTGGTGGGGAGTTCTTGTGCAAGAACACTGACGTTCTAATGTATGAAATCAGTGCTTCTTGCGCAAGAACTATGATGCTCCCGCTGAAGAATAAGCTCTCTTGCGCAACTGTTCTTGCGCAAGAGGCCAGTGTAGACAGTCAACATGAATTTCTTGCACAAGAAAGCCCGATAGTTAAAATGGCCATCAGAGATCTTACAAGATTAGAAAAATATATTCTAACTTCTGAATATAGTGGAGGAGCCACTCTGCATTTGAGAAACACTGAAGTTTGTTATGCTTGTGCTTTCCAAAGTAATTGTATTACTAGAGTCCTGCGTGGATACAAACTTTGTATCCCCATCTGTATTCACAAAACTGAACTGAAGATATCTGCATTGACATCTGGAAACATGGATACCCATGGGTATAAAGTGAATATCTGCAAATGTGCAGTGCTCAATGTATTACCTGGAGTTATGTCGTGAAGCACCTGTGACACAGAAAACAGAAGATGAACCCATGCAACTTCTGTAGATTGCAGTGCTTCATATGTGGGGATTGGCAAAGTGCTTGTATCTTGGTAGACCAGTGAAGAGGGCATCTGTACCAGCTCTGTGAAAAAGAAACGATTAATATTTATTACAGTGTTAGAGAAGAGAGAGTCTAGTCTTTTGTTTTGATTTGCTCCAATGTTACTAATGCTGAGGGGTTAACCATGTGATTACCAAAAAGAGAAAATCTAGTGGAGGGGAAAAATGAGTGAATGAGGTAGGAGCCATAGAATACTAGAATATGAATTTCCTCATTTGAGTGGCTTCTACCTTATTCTGCCATTGATTCACTGTGTGATCTTTGTCAAGTTATTTAATCTCTTCATCTTGATTTCCCATTCTTAAAATGGGGATAATGCCAGGTGACAACAGTAGTATTAAGTTAATACATTAATTTTTGTAAAGCATGTTGAATGTGTAAATCCATACACGTGAGACATTAATTTTATTATGCAGTGAGTTGATGTTAAAGATCACTTGGGTATCAAGTTGAACCTGAGAATAGCCAAATGTCAAATGGGAAGGGAGTAATGAAATATTTTCTTGACTCTATAGCACATGCCCTCCCCACCTCTTCTTGTAGACACTGCTGACTGAACCGTGCACTGGAATGACTGTCATTATTGGATTAAAAAGATACTTTGGAAAAGCACCAAATGGCATGTCCTTTCAAATATGGGGAGATCTTCCTAAGGTTGGGTTCTCTCCTCCACCTGTAGCCTTTGATAAATGACTGAACATTGAGAATCTCAATAATTAAAACAAAAGAAAGTTAAGCATTTTGATTGTCAAAATATTTCTATATTTTAGAGTGAATTGGGTACTTGTCAGTCTGGCCATTTTCAGCATACTGCCCCATAACCACACTTCACAAAAATGATTTTGTAAAGTGTGGTTATGGGGCAGTATGCTGAAAATGGCCAGACTGACAAGTACCCAATTCACTCTAAAATATAGAAATATTTTGACAATCAAAATGCTTAACTTTCTTTTTCTAGTATTTAAGATCTGCTACAATTATTGTTTATAGTTTGGTTTTTTTGCAGGGACACTATTATCCACAAAGTAAGCGGCATGAGCAGTAATAGTGCAAGCTTCTGGCTTCAGAAAGGTACCACCTCTAGGATTAAAGGATATACTTGAGTCTTTGAGTCCATTCTATTGCTACCCCCTCTCCTACATTGCTAAGGTTAATATTTTGATGATGGATGTGAGCTCATGTCTGCTAGAATCAAGCAAAGAATCCACCAACCTCCTACACATTAGTCAGCATTTCAATAAATACCATGAATGACAAGCCACAAACCTAAAACATACCTTGTCCATTGTGCAGATGAGAAGCAGCATTAAACATAGTCCTCATAGATGTTTCTGCAGTGTAGGATGGGATGTTTGACACTTTAATTGGCTCCAGGGTAAACACTGTGGTGTTTGGCAAAATTATTCTGGTTACAAGAGATCTGTCTGGATTTAAAACCTTTGTGCCACTAGGTAAAATGCTTGGAAAATGATTGTATGTTCTGAGTTTGCTCCTGTCATAAGAATCAAATATCTTCATTGGTCTGGACAGCTCAGAGCTTTGAAAGCCAGCAAAATCTGTAGGCAGAGAAAGCAGTGGAGCGTTATTAGGGTAGGACTGAGCTGTCAGGCTTGTTTCTTGAGCTGTTCCAGCATCACTGGGGAAAGTGCTACTTAAAATAGAAGAATCCAATATTGAGGTAACAGAGCTTGGGTTGGATGTTCTATCCCAAATCGCTGTACCTATGTGGATTATAGAAGAATCGGAGATTTCTTCTTCAGTAAATGGAAGTCTGTCTGTCTGTGGGATACTCATAAAAGACTTAGACATATATTCAAAGCCATTAAATACCTCTTGACTCAAATGACTACTTCCTGACAAAAGTAGAAACATATCATCAATGGAAGGTGTAAAATCAAATAATGCCAGGTGTAGTGAAGTAGATGTGGGTGTTGAAGGCAACTTTTCTGGAGAGGTGGTTGTACTAGATGGCATTCCATATTCAGGAAAATGGTCATAATCAGAGATGCTGTCCTTTGGATGGCTATAAACTGATGTCAATATTTCTTCTAGAAAACATGTTTGAAGTGCCGAGCTAGGAGACACTTCTGGCCAGATCAGAGGCCATTCATAATGTGTTTCTGTCATTAAAGTGTAAATGGGTCTTGAAAACTGACCTTTACCAGTTGCCTCGGTGATGTCAAAAGAAAGGACTGATAGAAAATGGTGCTGCAGTGGCTCTGATTTACTAGACTGTAAGAATGGATCCAACTCTAGTTTGTGAGATTGTGGTTGCTCTAATAAGAGTGGCATACTAGAAACAGTATTTTGCAGTCCCTTAAGTTCTATTGAAAGAGAGGTTGCTGTACTTATCAAAGAGGGTGAAAGTTCAGGAAAAGCAAAAGCAGAGCGCTCTTGAAAAATAGTACTAGACATTGCTCTTTTACTTGGAAAATTCCATGATGGGTCTATTTCTAAGGCTCCTGAACTCTGTTGGCTTGTTTCAAAATGTGGAATAAGATCATTGTAATTGGTGATAGCTGTGCTCAGTTCATGGAAAAATAACCAACTCTGCATAGAGGAGACCACAGTCTCTGTGTGTAGGTAAAATAATGACTTTGGTGGCAAAGTAGTGAAGACCTCTTCTTCAGTTGGTTTTGCAATAATTTCAGTCACTTTCAGTGTTGGTGTTGGTGTAAACATTAACTGTCTGGGTTGTCTTCCTGAATGTTGTCTTTCAAATCCTTCTCTCTTAATTATTCTCCAGCCTGCAATTTCATATCCTAAGAGCTGTGAGAGACGGTGTGAATCAACATTGTGTCTTAGAACTTGAACTAGTTCTGAGAGCATTGCAAAAATTCCACATCCAACAGGCCAATAGAGCCCTATATAATGGCTTTCTAGGAAGTTGATGTGACTAGTATCTTCAGCCAATACTGTTAGGTTCCACCTGCTTCTGTGTACCAAACCCTGATATGGATTTAGGGCCAATGAAGTGGGATCCAGATGGAGATATTCTGCCATGGTGCACACCAGGTATAGGCGTTCCTGAACATCCAGCGATTCAGCTGCCGCGTGGATGATGATCTCAGCAGAGGTGACAGAACCCGTCCTTGTACACCTTTCAGAACTGATACTGAAAGTAAAGAAATGTAGACGGTAAAACCCTTCTGTCAGACGGCTTTTGATGTGAAAATTCCTGTTTGAATTTAGGCTATGTCCCTTGACACACATCACTGACATGTGTAACTCTCCCCCTTTTAGCTAAATTCCCTCTTATCTGGATAAATTTCAGGTCCCCAGTCTATCCAAGTAGTATTAGAATGTAATTACAGTTGTTTAGATTTAGCTTCATGATCCCCTATCCTGATCTCACAATATACAGTTTCAGACATGCTTGTCTTTTTTTTTTTTTTTCTGGGTCAGAACAGAAACTGGCTCCTTTTGTGGTGTGTCAACTGTCTGGTACTTATTCAGTTACTGAGGGGGGTTCTATTTGTTTCCAAATATATTTGCTCTTTACTTAGCATCTGCCTGTTGTCTGTTGGGAAATGAAAATCTGAAAAGTGTTTCTTCTCTTGCGCCTCTTAGTTTTCCCCTCCCCCATGTTCATTTTATTACTTTCCTCACCCCATATCTCTCTATATATTAAAAAAAAAAACTTTTCCTGAGGGACGACAGAGTGACGTCATCACATCGCTCTGAGTACCACAGCCCCTCCCTCTGCCCTCAGCCACCCTACTTCCTCCTTCCCTCCCCTGGTACGCTGGCAGGCTGGAGTCATGTGGCCTCCTTCCTCCCCCTTGAAGGTAAATCTGACCCTGTGTCTGCCTCCTTCCATTGAACATGCATTCCCTCACCCTTTTCTTCACTTCACTTTTCCTTAATAAATAAATCCTGCTGCTGGTGGATGCATCCATATTTTTTGGTGGTTTTGGCCAAATGCATTTGTTAAGTTGCCAAAATTAAAGATACTTACATATTACCCTTGGGCATGTGACTCAAACCTGTCATCTTTTCTGGGATCAAAATGCTCTCCTGAACAAGAAGAATGAAATTTACATTAGCTGTTGGTGTTTTCTGAATGCATACATCTCCGTAGGCAGCTACATTCAGGTGGTATTCTCCACTCTTCTCGTTCACTGGCAGTCCTTGCAGTGTAGTTGTATTAGGATTATACTCCAACCATTTTGGCAATTCTGCACCACTGGCCAAAGTAAACTGTTCAATAATGGGACAAAGTATAAACTGAGTTTGAGGAGTAGCACATGGACATCACTCTTATAACTGAAAAATATATATCAAGAGTTCTATGAAGAAAAGACTAAGCTATAACAGAACCAGCTGCAGCTATCCTTAAAGATAGCTGGAAGCTATCAATAATTCATTTAATTTCATGGCAATTTTTTTTGTCTTGTTTTGCAAGATTTTATTAAGGCTAAGTTGCAATAAAACATCAGTGTTCTACATCATACATTACTTGTTCAGGGCCAGTTTAATATTCAAGGAAAAATGGCTAAAGATTCTGCATTTTTGACTGGGGCACTCTCCTGTAAATACACTAAAAAGGGTAAAATTGTATAGACTAACAAAATATGTAGATGGTATCACGAGCTTTCATGGGCACAACCCACTTCTTCACTGAACTCCGGTCATCTGAAGAAGTGGGCTGTGCTCATGAAAGCTCATGATACCATCTACATGTGTTGTTTTTTAAGTGTATCCTGTACAGACTAACAACAAATGGTCTGGTAGCACTTTATAGACTTACTCGACTATCTCCTGAAGCTACTAAAAAGGGTGATCGCATTTCTAAAGACCTGTCCTCGTCTTGGCCCATCTCTTGTGTACATTCTTGGTGTTTTTCCATTACAAGGACCATCCATATTTTACTAAACTACAGTTCCACTGGAGGAGGAGTCACTTTTTTCTCCCAATACTGTGTAATACCAAGTCTTGCACCTAACAAAAGTTAAGTTTTATCTTTCTGTCTAATGTAGACATTGTATTAAACCATTAAATGAGCAGGTCAGAGGATTTCTGGAAACACTGACATTGTTACAAAAAAAAATGTTGAGACTGCAGTCAGCAGCCATGTTTAACGCTAAAGACTGTTTAGTGCAGGGGTGGCCAACCAGTTAGACGCTAAGAGCCAAAATAGCTGTGGATAGTAGTGCAAAGAGCTATCCACCCCTCCCCCAGAGCCAGGCACCCCCAGCTCCCACCCAATGCCCTCCCCCTCCTCCAGAGCCAGGCAATTCAGCCCCCTCTCCCCCACTCTAGCCCAATGTCCCACCCCTCTGCCAGAGCCAGGCAGCCTGAAACTTTTATTCTTTTAGTTACACCCTGGATCTCACCAGAGCTGCGGCCGCAGCCACATACTTTTCCATCCAGGCATTGGGGCATGTGCTCAGAGCAGCCATGAACAGTCCAGGTATGTGGCTCTGAATGAAAATCGAGCCCCCTCTCTGAATCCAGGACATTTTTTGTGTTTTTAAAAAGCCGGAAAAATGAGGACACGGATGTATGGTAACCCTAAGAGCCTCATTTCTCTGAGCAAAGAGCCGCAGGTGGCTTGAGAGCCACAGATTGGCCACCCCTGGTTTAGTGCCTAAAAATATTTGGGTGTTTCTTTAATATACAATTAATGTAAGCAATATAATTGTTATGCTGAAATCCAAGTTACAGGAGGTCAGGTTTTAAAATAGTCTTATTAAAAATCCCACTCCCCGCAGGTTCTCCAGAGCGGTATTGTAATTAACTAGCAATTATTGCAAAAATCGAGAGTAAATACCTACCTTAATAATGTATTATACAGAGTAGTATATTTAACTCAGTATTACCTTGTAGTGGGTTATCTTTCCCTGAAAGGCAAATGGTGGTACTGAGTAGTAAAATACTTTCCCCATCATGGCTGTTGTGTCTGGGATGCCTTGAAGTACTTGGATCTCCACACATGTGTTATTTGAGTCCTTGGCAACCACAGCAGGCATGAATCCTGAGAAAGATACCAGTGCAAGAAGCAGTAGTGTTGGTAAAACTTGTCTCTCCAGGGGCAGATGGGACTCAGAGACAAGAAACTTGTCCTCAGTACCAGTGTGTATTCTCAAGGCATCCATAGTGTGGTGTGTGTGTGTGTGCTAATCAGAGGCTGCAGCTTCATTGCATTGCAGAGCTGTAGGATGAAAAAAACCCGCAGGTTAACAGTCAGTCAGCTGCATGTGTGAAAACAGAGAGATTTAAAGCTTCCTAAGACTTAAACTGTGTTAGTTAGAACCGACTTGTTGAATTCTAGGTGAGCATTAAACTAAAATGATTAGCTTGCAGACGTCAAGTTACCTTGAAAAAGCCACAATACTCACAGTTACTGCTCAGCTCAGCTCAAAAGTCTTTCCTGAAAAACACCATAAAACACAAACAGCCTCTTATGCTTTTTAACATGGTTGCCTTTAGAGAGCGATGCTCCCATTTCTGCCTCTGTCATGAGAGAAGACCACCTGGTCTCTAGGAGATGAAATACTAGACTAGGGCCTCATGAGGGGGGCCTTCAACATATGGCTTAGAGAAGTGCCTCTGGAAACTGAGCAGTAACCTGATCTGGCAGGCTTTTTTTTATTGTAACGGGGAAAGGCATTATCATAGGGCCAGAGGCAGTTCAAGGGTTAATATGTCATTTCAGTTTCATCCCCAATGCCACCCCACTGAGGTTACTGGAGTAGCAGTGAACATGAATTAGATCCATTATGTTTTTAGGTATCTTTTTAACATTGGGGGTAAAGTATTATAAGTACCCTGATCTGGCAGGCTTTTTTTTATTGTAACGGGGAAAGGCATTATCATAGGGCCAGAGGCAGTTCAAGGGTTAATATGTCATTTCAGTTTCATCCCCAATGCCACCCCACTGAGGTTACTGGAGTAGCAGTGAACATGAATTAGATCCATTATGTTTTTAGGTATCTTTTTAACATTGGGGGTAAAGTATTATAAGTACCAGTATAAAATAGTTCATGCTGATGTAGATTATGTTGCAAATGCAACGAGGAGTCCTGTGGCACCATATAGACTAACAGATTTATTGGAGCATAAGCTTTTGTGGGCAAAGACCCACTTCATCAGATGCAGTGGGTCTTTGCCCACGAAAGCTTATGCTCCAATAAATCTGTTAGTCTATAAGGATATGTCTACACTGCATTCCTCTTTCGAGAGAGGAATGCAAATGCAGAGGAACGAAATTGCAAATGAAGCACGGATTTGAATTTCCTGCGCATCATTGCGTCAGGGCGTTATTTTGAAATATCCTATTTCAAAAAAAGAAACGCAGTCTAGATGCGGTTATTTCGAAAGGAACCCCTTCTTTCGAAATTACCCTTACTCCCTATAAAATGAGGAGTATGGGTGTTAGTATGGGTGTGGCTATGCAAATGAGATGTCATCAGACCAGTATAAAATGACTGTGGGAACACCTATATAATCCTGAAAGCAGAGTTGTTGACTCGAGTCCCACGACTTGAACTCGAGTCCGACTTAAGTCGCCTAGGTGACTTGACTTGAGACTCGACTTGGGTTCATTGTTTGTGACTTGAGACTCGACTTGAGACTTGCTAATTTTGCTAAATCGACTTGGTGAAAAACTTGTCCGAAAATGCCGATATTGATGGTTTGTACAAAAGTGACTTGATATTTTTTAAATTAAGACTTGAGACTCAACTTGGGACTTGACTCGAAAGTGACTTTAGGGACTCAAGACTCGACTTGAGACTTGAACTGTAGTGACTTGAGACTCGACTTGGACTTGACAATGATGACCTGAAGACAACACTGCCTGAAAGTGCCCCGTTGTGAACCAGATATTTTCAGATGCCTCAACAGACACAGGATGAACTGTATCTTGGCTGTTGCATAAAAGTGATGTGCCTCCTTTCTTAACTGATTTGGCTCCTGAGTGTTTAGTAATCATTATGTAATGGTTATCTGTACTGTCTCAAATGGTGGGAAATTTGTTGGACCCCCTTTTGCCATGATAATTCTGCCTCTCTGGGCTGGGGTTTTGAACATAAAATTCTCCTTCGAGTGGTCCCTGTGGGTGCTCCACTCTAGGTGCTGGTGCGTCCTCGCGCCGGCGACCGGAGACTTTTTCTAGCTGTTTCTGCCGCAGCGCGCAGGCGCCGTGACGCCCTCTAGTGTCGTTGGGACTGAAGGGCGCCTGCGCGTGCGCGGCTCCTCAGTTCCTTCTCTACCGTCCTCGGCAGTAGACGGAGCCCTCTCTTTGCCTTATTCCTCTGGAAAAAAAAACAGTTAAATTCTTCGTTTTACCCCCTAGTTACCCCATCAACCAAGTTTTCGAAAAAAAAAAAAAAAAAGATTTTTTTCTCTTGTTGTGGCTTGCCGCTTGTTCCCCGACCCTTCATACAGGATCCCCCAGCTTTAAAAGGTGTCAGACATGCCGGGACTCTATGCCTGTGTCTGATGGACATTCCGATTGTATTAAGTGTCTCGGCGAATCCCACCAGACTCAGAAGTGTCAGCACTGCTTGAAATTGACTGCCAGAGCACGTTGGGGCCAAGCGAATAGGCTAAAAACAATCCTTTATGAAAAGTCTTTCCGACCTCCATCAGACAACCCACTAGCGGCTCCAGAAATGGCCTCACTGACCAAGGGTACAGATAAGTCATGTCCCTCTGCCCCGTCTACCCTGGCAGCATCGAGAATGGCTCATTCTCCAACCTCCTCGAGAGCTCATTCTGAGCCAAAACAAAAATCAGCGGCACCGACCGCTATGGCACCAAAGCCGTCCTCGGCACCGACAGCGCCGCCTAGAGAGCACTCGGCACCGAAGCACCACCAAACGGCACCGGGCTCGGCACCGAAAAAGGCCCATACCGATAATCCACCTCTTAGCACTTCGGTGCCGGGATGCACGTCGGCACCTTCATCTCCACCGAGACCACACCGCTCGGCACCGTCCCAAAGCCGAAGCCGGTACCGATCCCCGGTGCGGAGCCACACCTCTTCGGCACCGCTGTCCCCGGGTTCCGCTATGCACTCAGCGAGATCGCACCATTCCTCGGCCGCTTCTCGTTCAGCTAGAGACATCAGCACCGAACCCAGAAGCAGGTTCTCGTCGCAACATTCTAGCCCGGCTCACAGACCTCCATCCTGGCAAATGCCTGCGGTTCAATATGCATACCCTCCCCCTCCGCATCCATGGTATCAACACCAGTATGCCTACCCACCCCCGCGATATGCCACCCAATGGCAACCGTGGGATTCACATCCAAAGAGGACTCACCATCGACCCTCTCCTACCACTTCCAGGCCACCTCCTGCCTCACCTCCTGCCACCACATCGGCCACAGAGCCGAATTCTCCAGCTCCTTCAGGCGGCCATGACTCCCTCTCTGACGGCGAGACCAGATCTCCGCTACACAATTCCTCCTCCTCCCCAGACGAAGCGGTCACCACCGATGTCCCACCGTCGAGATACGATACAAAAAAGTTTCAAGAGTTGTTTAAAAGAGTTGCCGTAGCGCAGGAAAAAGATCTTCAAGAGGTGCAGGTCAAACAATATCGACTCCTTCGCACGCTTCAACCTCCAACTGCTTCCAGAATTGCCATCCCTATGGATGAGGCCATTATGGACCCAGCTGACAATATTTGGCAGACCCCAGCGTCTGTCACTCCAACAAAGAAGAGAGCAGACCGCAAATACTTCATCGCTCCAAAGGATATGGACTTTCTTTTCACCCACCCACCCCCTAACTCCCTAATAGTGGATTCTGTACGTCACAAGGGTAAACAACGTAACCTAAGAACAACCCCACAGGACAGAGACCACAAAAAGATTGACATTATGGGCCGAAAGGTTTATTCTTCGTCCACATTGCTCCTTAGGGCAGCCAATTACACTGATATGCTCGCAGACTATGATAATGCCAATTACTCAAAGCTCCAGGACCTCCTCCTACACCTCCCGGAGCATAAACGGCCAACCCTGCTTAGTATTATGCAGGAAGGCCTCACCATTTCCCGCACAGCTTTG